ACTCTTTTGTTGACTATGAGGGCTACTCCATTCCTTCTACGGGATTCTTGCCCACAATAGTAGACATGATAATCATCTGAGTTGAATTCACCCATTCCTGTCCATTTTAGTTCACTGACGCCCAGGATGTCGATGTTTATTCTTGCCATCTCCTGTTTGACCACCTCCAGCTTCCCAAGGTTCATAGATCTTACATTCCAGGTTCCTATGCAATATTTTTCTTTGCCACATCGGACTTTCCTTTCACTTCCAGGCACGTCCACAGCTGAGTGTCCTTTCGGCTTTGGCCCAACCACTTCATTAGCTTTGGAGCTACTTGTACTTGTCCTCCGCTCTTTCTCAGTAGTATGTTGGACGCCTTTTATCCTGAGGGTCCCATCTTCCAGCATCATATCTTTTAGCCTTTTGTTTCTGATCATGGGGTTTTCTTGGCAAAGATACTGGAGTGGTATTGCCGGTTCCTACTCCAGGTGGATTGCGTTTAGTCGGAACTCTCCACTATGACCTGTCCGTCTTGGGTGTCCCTGCACGGCATAGCCCATAGCTTCTCTGAGTTGCTCAAGCCCCTTCGCCACAACAAGGCAGCAATCCATGAATTCCCCCTTACTGTTTCTGTTTTATCGCTGCATTGATCTAGCACTTGGAGACATTCAAAATCCAAGCATTGGCACCAGCTTGATTTGATCCTCACTAGACGTTCTAGCCTTCCTAGTATTACAATCACACACAGTTACCAGAGTGCTGATTGTGATACTGATCACTCCCTGGTGTGTAGTAGAGTAAAATTGCGAACAAAGAGATTGTATCACATGAAAAAGCAAAGAAGACCACATATTGACATCAGCAAGACTCATGATCAAAGAAAAGTGGAGGAATTTGCCCAAGCGCTTGAGGAAACCCTTCCAGGCCAAGCTGATGCAAATGCACCTGAACAATGGGAACATTTATAACACCGCCTTGTCCACATTTGGCAAGAAGACCAAAAAGACGGCCAACTGGTTCGAAGCCCATTTGGAAGAGTTGATGCCAACCATCGAAGATAAGAGATCTCTAGCAGCATACAAAGCTTGTCCTAGTGAGTATAACTTGCAGGCTCTTCAAGCTGCTTGTAGCAAAGTCCAACAGGCTGCCAGAAGATGTTCCAACAATTATTGGCTTCAGCTCTGCTCTCAGATACAGATAGCAGCAGACACAGGTAACATCAAGAGAATGTAAGACGGTATTGTTACATACAGCACTGATGTTACCTGTCTGTCATGGGTTTGGAGGGAAAGTTCCATCCTATGGGGAGTGGAAGGCGGGACATCAGGAGGAGGGGCTGTACTGTATATATATGTGAAGCCTGTGTGGAGAAGTTCAAAAGTAGAGGAGAAGCTGAGAGAAGAAGCTTGAGTGGGAGTCTGTGTGTCAGACAGGGTACTACTGTGTGTCAGTCAGTACCTACCTGATAGGTTCAGGTGTCTGTATGGGTAGCCAGAACTGATAGGTTCAGGGTCTGTGCTTTATTTAAAAGTGTTCTGAGTGAACCAAACTGGTGTATGTATGATTGAGACTAAGCCACGTTACTGGATCTTATTCATTTGATCATTTTATTTTCCCTGTGTGTTATGTAAATAAACCTTGTTCTTTTATTTGTTAAAAATCCATCCCTGGTCTGTGTGACTCCTTATAGGGAATGGTTGGTGGCAGCTTAGTGAAACTGTGGCATATCCCAGTAGGTCTGGGTTTGTCACAGGTATCACGCAGGCTTTAGGTCAGGTAACATCAAGAGAATGTAAGACGGTATCACGCAGACTTTAGGTCCTATACAGAATAAATCTGCTCCTTTGAAGAATGCTACAGGCATGATAATCCAGGACCGAGCACAGCAGATGGAACGCTGGGTGCAGCACTACGCTGAGCTATATTCCAGAGAGAATGTAGTAACCAAAGAGGCATTCAATAACATCAAGTGCCTACCTGTCTTGGAAGAGTTGGACAGCGAACCAACTTTAGCAGAAATAAAAGCGGCCTTGGATGAAAAAGTTGCAGTGGGTGCAACTCCTGTTTAGTTTTCCAGCAAGCCAGCTATGACTGTTTCCAGAATACAGTAGTGCATTTTGTTCCCTTTCCCAACTTGGTTTCCAGGACCCTGCCCAGCATTCAGTCAGCACTCTATAGCCACTAAGCATGCTCAGTTCTCATTCAGTAGGGTTCTGTTTTTGCATTTAATTTTGTCCATGCTACCACCTTCTGAGGTATGGTCAGCAGCAGAGATGAGCATAAACTGCCAGTTCAGAGCAGTTCGTTTAACGGCCACATAGCTGATCCACAGTTCGGCATCCTACCTGCTCTGGCAGGTGCCCATTCAGAGGGAACAGCTTCCCTGCCCCACTTTCTCCAAGCGCTGCCTCTGCTTGGGCGCCCACTAGAGGACACAAGGCACTGAACTCCAGATCAATTGTGTGGCTGCTTAAAAAAAAACTGCACCAACCACTAAACCAGAAGTTCATGCCCATCTCTTGTCAGCAGCAGTATGTGAAAAGTACATTTTCCCAGGCAAAGCTTGGAGAAGTTACCTTTTTTGCAGGGAACTCCCCAAATCTCCACTGGCTGGCAGCTGTGGTACTGGTGGTCAAATGCACATATATCCCAAGCTGTGTACCCAAGACTCCTTGCTCTGAGAAATTAGATTGTCTCCTACCTTAAAGATGTTCCAGCAAATTTGTTCTTTCAGTTCTTGACATTTTTTTCTCTTTGTTACAGCAAGCACGTTTGTTTCCTACATATGGGTTTTCAGGATATGTACAACATTCAGGGAGTGGTTTACCATTATCACCCACCAGTGAATTTTCATGGCTGAGCAGGAATTTGGACCCTGTTCTGCGGAGTCCTAGTTGAACATTCTATTCACAACATCAAACAGGTTTAGTTCTTAGTACTTCTTATTTAGCTCTAGTTCTTCTGACACTTTTTTGTCAGCATGTACAGTATTGTAGAATTTGTATTCTTTATTATTGCGGTTTGTAAATTATTTCTATGTGGATCTTTTGCTTGTCATGGGGCTGCTTGTAAGGCTGAGAGAGAAAGTGTAGAGAGAACAGAATGCTTTGGTTGAGTTTTGAGTGAGGTGACCTACTGGCAGCACAGCTGAAGGAATGGGGCTCATCGGGTGACAGAAAATCCGTAAGGTATTGCACTGGCTGACTGTATGATAGGTCTCTACCGCAAAGTAAAGCAGAGGCAGGGAAGCAACAGACATAGGATGGGAGAAATGGAAGCATTAACAGTCCAAATATATATACATGATTTCTTCAATTAAACTATGGTCGTTATAGAAAGGTACATTGAACCTACAGAACAATCTAATGGTTTCCTAGGAAAATGTCAGTTTTGAGGAAGCATTTAAAGTTAGCATGATGATCAGACTGAAGTGTAGGTTAGTCCCAGATGTGGCATTGATATTTCACCATTGTTTTCACTTTTTGTCATTGCTTGTAAGTACCTCAACACAAGCTCTTTTCTCTTCTATGATTTTGGCCCATTAGCAGTGTTTACACATGGAACATCTAGTGGGAAGGAGGTTCAAATCTACTTTTAAGTTTAATAGGCACAAATGTTCTAAGTATGACTGAACTCTTGACCTCTTGACTCTTCTACCAACTCACTCCCCATTACAGCTGCAGTCCTCAAATTCTTATTAATATGAAAGCCTCCTTGAGTTCAATGGAATTGGACACGCTCTGTGCAAGTTGTTTGGTTATAATGTTCTCCTGGAGCTGAAAACGATGGATCTCTCTCTCTCTCCAAAAAGGCATAGAACTGAACCACCCATAGAAGACACATTGAAGATGGGCAATATATAAATCAAATAAATAAATAAATAAATGTGCAGTACATCACAAGCTGCTCCAGGGAGATGGTATCTTCTGCTTAAGTTATTAACTCAGATGATAAATATATGAAAGCCCTCAGGGTAGGTCTTGCTCCTGTCGCTTTTCTTGGGAGTGCTGCAGCCCTCGGAGTATCTATTCCTCTGTACTAGGCGTGCCATTTCTCTCTCCTCATCCATGCCACCAGAAAGTGCCAACATGCTTAGTCATTCTTAATGGCACTGTATAAATTATGAACACAGTAATAAAAGTGTGAGAAGGGGACTTCTCTCACACCTCTTCTGCACATATGATGAAACCCACTTCAAATTTTCCTTGCAAAAACGTCAAACGGGACAATTGAGAGTTTCTGCGTGCTACAATAAGTCACACTTTTGTGGCACCTTGAAGGTTAGCCAGTTTTGTCACAAGCTTATGTAGAATACAGTCGAAAGGTCATGTAAAACAAGACCTGGGCATTTATTTATTTTTTTAGTCACAAGGTTCTTTGCTTCCGCTTTCCATTCGATTGCTAGTTGCAGCCCAAGCGCTAGTGAGGGTGGAAAGACATTATTTTTGTATTTTGTAGACCAGACAGACAGTAAAAAGAGCGATTGGTACACCCTTCACTCTGAACAATACAGTAAAGGAACTCTCCGTAATCTCGTAAACAACCAGCGCTCCCCAGTATCTTCGCGCTAATAAAAGCGGGGCAGGCCTCACATTCCGCTGTAGCATTTTTCTCTATTTGTTATCGCGACCGCAGCATGCTGGGTTTTTTTTTAGCCGATTGCGCAATGTCCCGCGCGCCTTTTTTTTCCTTGCTCGGCCATGCAGTGACAGGCATCAAGGCCACCCAATGATCGTCTCCCCCTCCAGCCGCACGAGCCAATGGTGGGAGCAGCAGCCTATAGATTGGCGATGACGTCAGCGTTGGGGAGAAGAGCGCGCAACCAAACCCAGCTTCGGTCACGGCGACCCGGGAGGCGCCCGAGAGGAGTCGCGTTGTTGTTCCCTCCCTTTCCTTCCTCGGCGCTTTGTGAGCGACGCCAGACGCCGCCATTTTGTGAGCGTGTCCCTTCCACCCCCTCCCCCACCACCCCATTCCGTACGCGCCATTTCTCTCGCTCTCTCTTTCTTGTTTTCACCCAATCTCTCTCTCTCTCATTTTCTCTTCCCCCCCTTTCTTCGTGGCAGTCAGCCGGACGGGCGCCATGATTGTCAGGAAGACATAACCAGAGCAACAGCTTCTCCGGCCAACGGCTCCCGTGTCCCCTCACTCCCGCCTTGTGCCTGTGCGTGTGTGTGTGTGTTGCCTGCCCCACACTTTCCTCCTGTGGTGCGTGTAGCCGGGATGTGGTAACCTTCCCCAGCCGGGATTCCGCCTCTTCTGCTCCGAAGCCTCCTCCTTCGCCCCCCACTTCTTTGTGGCGAAGCCCACTGGCAAGGGCAGCCTCGTCAAGGCCGGCCGTTAAAAGTGTCCCTCTGTTGTGTTGTGTTCCCTCCCCCACTCAGTAAAACCGTGAGTGAAAACGTCGTTCCGCCGCTTCACTGAGGGGGGGGAGGCCCGCAAACATTTTCCCCGTCACCACAACATGGCCCTCCTCCGGCAGTCGCAGTGCCGTAGCGGTGTGTGACCGTGTGTGCGTGCGCGTGTCTATATGGTGGTGTGTGCATGGTGTGTGTGTGCGCGCATCCTCCCTCCTCTCCCAGCGCCCCACCACTGGCAGCGGCGTCCTGCCTTCCTCCTCCCTTCTCCTCCTCCTCCTCCTCCCTGCATACACAGCCAGAGCCAGCACAATGGCCTTTGAAAGCCTGTTCTCCAAGCCCCCAAACCCATTTCTTGACCAAAACATGCCCGACTCTGACAGGCAACATGCAGGGGACGAAAGGTCGAGTAACATTCTTCTCTCTCTCTCTTTCTTTCTCTCCGCTTCTCAATGGTGATAATTAACGGTGATAATAACTGAGAATGACGATATGCTGTGAGATAATGATGATGGTGGTAATAATAATAATAATAATATCGATGTCTTAAATGTGTCTAGATGCATTTCAGAAAAGAAAAGAAATATGTCTGTAGCTTTGTATTGGGGAGGGGGAGAAAGTCACCTTCAGCCTTAGGCGGGTGGTGGGAGACACAAGGATGTTTTTGATGGGGGGGTGATCTCTTCAAGGTGCATTTGCATGCATTTTTTTAAATTTCATTCTCTTTTTTTAAAAAAACAAAATCCATCTTGTCATAAAACGCACTTTACATTGGGTGTCTGTATAGTGTCAACCATTGTTCTTATCCTGCCTTCCCCACTGTCATTTGAAATTAAAGACAGTGTGTTTCTCCTGTATGCAGGGAGCTACATGTAAACGTTTCCACCTTACACATTTAAACGGATTGGAAGGGGTGTGGGTAAAGTCTGTTTGATGTTACATTTACAGTACTAGTTTTCAGTCCCCTTAAACCAGCAAGCCAGAGCCATTTTTATGTTTTGAGGTCATTCACCTTGGTTTTCTGCAGGCTCTTCTTTGTACAGATTTAGTTTTTCTTGCTTTTATTTGATGCTTGGGACCTCCAAGCTATTTCTGTCACATTCAGTAACAAATTCAGTGTGAAGATCTTCCTTTCCTTTGATCAAGATTGTTGATGGAGTTCCAGTAACAGACAGATCTATCTGTGGTCCCCACATCCTTTCACAATCATATAAAACATTGTTTTATCGAAGTGGTACAAAACATTACATAGCCCCTAATTCATACAGCAACACTGTAGCATCTGTTGTGTTTCCCTTTTCTACAAACAGGGATATAGAAGTGTGTGACAATTACTGTACAGTGACTCACAGAGCTATAGTGAATCAGGTCTGGGCCTTGTATCTCAGATCTGCATACAGTATTAGTAATCGGTTGGTAAAATGGTTGTAGCACTTTAAAATATTAAGGGAACAGTTTGTGCATCAAAATGGATGCTAGCTAGCACAGTATTATTACTTTTAACATAATAAGTGATGAATGCCACCTGAGCTGTCAAGGTATTGTTTAAACGAAAAGTTTGCACAGTACTGCATTATTAACATATCTGAAGCCTATTATCCTATGGGTTTTTGGAGATATTCCTGTTTCCAAAAATATTTTGGTGTTGTTGAGAAATAAATTCATGAAAATACATTCATCCAAAATGTTCTCCTTTTGTTGAAGGATGACATGCTATGTTTTTATAGGTATACAGAAAATAGATTTTATAATTATTATCCATTTTAGGATCAAACAGTTGAACACACATCTTTGTACCTTGTTGAGATATACTGGAGGTGCACTAAGCTGTTTGAAAAGCACAGTCAAAAACTTGTACTTTTCTGTGGCTTTGCAGAAATAACCTGATAAATTACTTTCTCTGCAAGCTTATCAAATACCAAAATGTTTATTGCACTCCTCCCCACCCTCCAAGATTTCACAATAATTAAAAAAATCAGATGGGTAGCTTTAATATTAAGTTAACTGAATTACTCATTCTTATTAGAATAAGAACTATAAAAGCTGAGCTTTCTTTGTGGGCTAGTGGATAACATTCTTCCCCCTTTTTTACAGAAAAAAACACAAAAAGTTAAGTCACAAAGCAAGGGGAGGTGGCCATATTGAATAATGTTTGGCATGAGATGTGGGATGGAGAGACCTACGAATACAGTACTTTGTAGGTGCTACTGTTTCATCCTTGGAGGTCCAGTTGCTTAGTCTCCTGTCCCAATTACTGCATAAATGTAACTATCTCTGGATTAGATGGAGGAAGAGACTATAAATCTGGATTGTGGCAACACTAGAATTTTTTTGAAGTCATATTTGCTGGACACTTCTATATTCTAGTGGTAGAATATACCAGATGGGCAGGATATAAATCGAACAAATAAAATAAATAAATAAAATAATATTAAGGAGTTCATAATCAACACCTTAACACAGATTTGGGTTGACAGCCAAAGGCTCAAAAATATAAACAGTGTTCAGAATGTCATTTGGATATTTAGTAAATTGGAGTAAACATGACTCTTATCTCCTGGGAAATGTAGTTCTGATCAGCAGTGTGATGGTTAAGGTGACATGATTATTTTAACTGGTCATGTAATCACTTTGAGATGATAAGTTAGGAGCCTGTCATAATTTACCCCCTCAGAGTAATTACACAACCAGGTCCAAGAGGTATGTCACATTGCACTTACATAGCACTGCTGATCAGAATCAGGTTTCACAGCATGTGGAGCACATCTCTGTTTGTAAATGAACTTAATTTTATAAACATTGAGCTCACCAAATTATGAAAAATACTACTTTTTTCAGAAGTACTTTAAGATTGTCAGAGCTGATCAAAGGATGGCAGGAAAGATTTGAGAAGAGCCTTTCTCACATTTTGTGCTTTAATTTAGATCTTTGCTTGCATTAACACATATATGTTTTACTTACATTGATAAAAGCTTTTCTTATGTGGCATTAAAATCTTTTTGAATACAAAATGTTTAATAGTTTAATGGAGAACACTTTAAACAAAGGTGTGTATATTTTTCTGTAAATTATTTTGAACATCAGGGAATAAATAATTAAAGCCATCATATTAATGGTGCATTATTATTAAAGAACAACCTTTGCTTATTAACAGGACAGTTGAAAAAGAACAGGTGAATAAATTTTGGGAACCAGTATTTAAAACCAAGCCCCTATTCATTCTCCAGCTACATTTTAAGGCATACTATCATTAAAAGAACTGAATCTATATGCTATGCTACTTATATTTTAATATGTTATAAATGACAGCACTTTAGACATGTTTTAAGACTCTTTAAGACATATCTATTACAAAAAGTACAGTTTACACTTTAAATATATGCAATTTATGCATATTTAAAATGTTGCAAAATTACCAACCAAATTCTGGAGGTTAGCCTTCTGATAAACATTTCAATATTCAATTGCAAATGTATTTATAGCACAGTGCATAAATTGTAAGATATCCCATAGATAATCTGGTTCAACTCTTGGCCTTTAAAGTGTTTCCTTGAAAACTTCCAAGATTCATTATGTGTATTCCTACTTCCTTAGATGAGCTAAATTGACCACTTCCTTAACAGTTTTCCCTTCATTTTTATTTGGAGATTTCATCCCATTTAACTATGGCTGATGTGTTTCACTTGCCTTACTGTATTTCTTTTTTATATATATTAGTCAAATTTTTTCAATTGAACAAGTTCTTTCTTTAAAATTGTGTCTGTAATTTAAAGCTTCAGCAACCTATGCCCCCATTCTTTGTGTTACTTAGATACATATTCAATAGGGGTATGGCAGAGGGGTTAACCCCAACCCTTCAGTGCATAATTAAGATGTAGAGCATTTCCTACTCTAAATGACTACCACAATAAATATTATAGCTAGCAAGTTCATTGTAACTTGCCAGAAAGAACTGTAGCCCAATGCAGCAGTAAGCATCATATTGATATTTCCTGCAGTGTTTACAAAAGTTTTTGAACTATAGGCTGATTTTATCTAAATAGTTGATGAGGTAGTGAGCTTGTTTGTAGGCTGTTATCACTTCAGACTGGAAGTGTGGAATCACATAGTTGAGTGGATCCTGATGAAAAAAGGATTTTGCACTGAATGTAGTAAAGTGACATGTCATCATGATCAAATCAGTTGTTGATGCTGCACAATTTAAATTAGATTTAAATACTGTAGCTGCCTTCATGGTTTGTGTCACTTAGCCAAGCAGAGTATCCGTATGAGTTGTATTAATCATTTTGAAAATATGGTAAATATTTGAATAGTTTTGCCTTTATTAGAATTCTAGCATAAACTACATAATTCCAGAAAGCCTTTCTAACTAGAGCATTTAGAAGGAGTTACTCAAATTGTCTGTATAATTTCTCGGGGGAACCCTGAGAAACAGTGTTTCTGCTGCTTGTGAAAGCTTATGTTGAAAAGGTAAAGGTAAAGGTTCCCCTTGACAATTTTTTGTCCAGTCGTGTTCGCCTCTAGGGGGCGGTGCTCATCCCCGTTTCCAAGCCATAGAGCCAGCGTTTTGTCCGAAGACAATCTTCCATGGTCACATGGCCAGTGCGACTTAGACACGGAACGCTGTTAACTTCCCACCGAGGTGGTCCCTATTTATCTACTCGCATTTGCATGCTTTCGAACCGCTAGGTTGGTGGGAGCTGGGACAAGCGACGGGTGCTGACTCCGTCAGCGACGGATGTTGAATAGAAGTTGTTAATCTTAAATCTTTGTTTTTGCTTCAACAAACTAACACAGCTGTCTCCCTGGCCATTTCTTAACAATGGCCATTGATAATAGATACTGGTGGTAATAGAGATAGGTTTATATAGATGTGCTGAATACATATGTAGTGAGATTAAAAAGTCTTAGTCCCAGTTCAGGTCGCAGAAGGTAGAGTTGAACTTCTGAATTCATATTTTTATCTTGGAATTTGTTTCTAAGTTTCTTCGTTCAAGATTTGCCACCTTTAGGCCTGACACTGTACAGATGGAAGACTGATGTGTTCCCTCATTAGTTTTTTAAATATTACCCTGTCTGATGCCAAATGTGTGCCTTTTTATACATCTGTGTAAAGACTGACTTATTGATAACAAAGAGTGTTGCTCACAAATATCACTGTAATGTAATATTTGATATGTAATATTATATAACATTATTAATTCATACAGTACTGCTGCCAGAATGGATTTAGAGTCTGCCAGGGCTATGTTTCTTGTGTCCACCAATAGCCAGATCCACTATTGCTGATGAATAATCTTTTCATGTTGGGTATCTGCCTGTAAGCTACCAAAAGCCTACCACCCAAGGCCTGTGTGAGAGAAATATCCATTAGGTGTTAGTTTGAATCTATTAATCTTTTCCCCATTTTGTTCAGTGGTTGTAGTGTGAATTGTCTGAATTGCAAGTTTCTGATGGATCAGAACTGATGGGGTTGATTTGTGGTGTTTGCTTACTATAGACAGTGGATTTTGTGGAGTGCTCTGGGAGGAAGTTGGAAATATGCAGCAATGTGTAGTAGTCTGTGGATTTCCAGTGCTTATGGACTATAATGTGGGTCATTATATAGTTGCACAATAGCATTCAGAAAGTAAATCTGTTCTGTGAACAGATGCATATTCAGATTAATGGTAAGGTACAAATTATTAGGTGGAACTTTCCCAGCGTTCTTCTCTCTTGTGCTGACCAGGTCGAAAGTCATTTTAGTAGGTGATTTTTTTATTATTTATTTAATAATTACAGTGGTGCCTCACACAACGATGTTAATTGGTTCCAAAAAAATCAACGTTGTGTGAAACATCGTTCTGTGAAACACCATTTCCCATAGGAATGCATTGAAAACCGGTTAATCTGTTCCAATTGGAACGGATTGCCGTCCTTGAGCGAAAATCCCCATAGGAAACATCGTTGAGTGAAACAATGTTTCCTCCATTCAAATGTATTGAAGCGACTCAATGCATTTGAATGGCATTCCGATGTCTCTTTTCCCTCATTTAAAAGTGCCTTAAACTGTTTGAAACCTGTTTTAAATGCTTGGCATCGATAGTCCAGCTTGTGAAACATATGCAAACTTAATTTGGTGTTGTTCTGAGTCGTCGTTAATTTTTGGTGATTTTTTGTTTTCTCCATTGAAAGCCATTAGACAGACTATTCAATGGCTTTCAAT